ATGCTCGGATCTCACAGTAGCAACTCTGTCCCTTAAATATTTACATTTCAGCCTGTGCTGTTGGCAGGGCATGGAGTAAACATATGGATTTGAGGCTGAGGTGCTGAGAAATTCCAATGGATTCTACTTGGGTTTGTTTTGATTTTTTCCCCAGGTGACCTTAAACAACGTGGAAGTCTGCAGTGAAAACATCATGACCCTAAAGAAGACGTTGGAGGTGCGGTCTGTGTTCTTCACTGGTTTTTTTCTTAAATCAGATTTGTAATATCCTCCCTTGGTGGGGGTCAGGTAAACCATCTGGACTTTGATATGCCCAAATTCCTGAAGCCTTTGCCCTCCAGCCTTAGGAAAGCAATACTGAGCTGGCAGAGCAACTTCCAGCTGATGGCAGCAGCCGGAAATACCATTTCCTCCAGCCTGACCAACCTGGTGCAGGAATAAAATGCACATCATGGAGAGGCTGTGCTTCTCTGGTGCTGGGCTAGACAGCCCCTGGCCTCCTTTCCTGCTCTCCCTCTCTCTCCCCAGCTGGATCCAGCTGCCTGTGCCTTTGCAGGGGCAGGAGCTGTCCTAGCCCACGGGCTGGTGGGCATCCAGAGCTCGGCAACACGAGGGGATAGGAACTGCCCAGGTTATTAATTTGCAACTTGCTCACGGATGTCTTCCCTGCAGAGTGATTGCAGCAAACTGCTCAGCCAAGGCTTTGGGGGTGAGCAGGCACAGGCCAAGATTGAGAGCTGCCTGTCGGACATGGCTGCTGTCTCCAACAAATTCCGTGACCTGCTGCAGGTGAGTGCCTGGAGGAGTTGCTGCTGGCCCCCAACACAGGCTGCTGGTGTCTTCAGGGAGAACTCAAGCAGGAGTCAGGTCAGCCCAGGACCTGACCCCAGGAGTGCTGGGTAGGGGTGCAGTCAGCTTTGAGGCGTGGGAGCAGCCCCAGCCCGTTTGCACAGCTGCACCAGCTGGTGACTGCAGAAAAGCACTGGAAGCAGCTGCAGAGCCAGAAGGAATGTTGCTCCATTTGTCTTCACTCAGTATGGAGTTGTAGTTGGTTCAGCACTTTCAGGAGAAGAAATATTAATAGCATTTCCATCTCCTCCATTCTCCCTCGTGGCACAGCACATTGTCAAGTTGTCCACAACCTCACTAAGTAATGCTGAAGACAAGCAGTTGGTAGAAAAGAGCTGCTCTTTTCTCAGGTTTCTCCTCCTTTCCCAAATGAAAATACTCCTCGGCATAGAGTCTGGCTGAATCCAGTCTCCTGTGGCATCCTGGGGCCTCTTGTCCTAAAATTTCACAGTGGTCTCTGGCAGGGAGAGACACAGGAAGACCTAGTACCTCCTGTGGAAAGAAACCAAGCAAAAAGAGAGTATTTTCAGCCAGGTTTGCCTTTGTTCTTCACAGAGAGGCCAGGCTATTTTTCATTTGGCTTTGCAGTTCAGGGCAGCCAGATGTCTTCAGAGCAGCATTGCCAGAAAACCCTCTTGGTGCTTGTGGTCTGTATCAAAACCAAAGAGCTTGTCAGTAGGGAGTAAAACTCTCCAGACTAGCTCTAGTGCAGTGTTAAAACTGGCTGCAAAGCAATCAAGAGTCTGAGCAGAAAATTCCTGCACTGTATGAATCACACACACATTGAATTTGCCTTGGAAAAGGGCAATTGCCAGCAGGGCCTGCTCACAAATGCCAGTTTTAGTGAAAAACTTCCATCAAATGCCGGGCAGTATCAGTACCTGCATAGTTTCATGCTGGGTGAGCTTACTGAGCCAAAGGGGGGTGTCTGAGAAGAGAGGCCTTTGAGAGCTCTTGAGCATCACAACGGACAGAGGAGGCTTTGCTGACAACCTGCTGCTCAGGGGAGATGGCGTGTTGCTGGGGTTATGATTAATGCAGGGAACTCACTCTGGGTACAGCTTTTATCCTCCTTTTAGCTTCTCCTACTGAGCTAAGCTGCACTGGAGGTGGGAGGCATCAGCTGAGTGTAATCTCATTGACCTGGCTGGTGCTGAGTGGAAAAGCTGGAGTTTGTGGCCTTTCCTGTGTGCCTCACTCCTGCCAGGAAACCTCTGTAGCTGTGCAGGATGGGCTGGGGGAAGCAAGAGCCCTTCAGACCAGGCTGCAAGTCAGCACAAAAGCAGCTTCTGGGCCAACATCCTTCCTCTTCTTGTTGTGGTGTCCTCAGAGCCTGCCAGCACTGGAAAAGTGGGGGATTTGGGACTTCTGAGTTCAGGTTCCTGTGCAAGTCTGCGGGTCGGTTTCCCCAGCTTGCAGTGAGGATGGAAGCATCAACACATCCTAGCTGTAAAGGTTTTGTGCCTCATTGTCCTCTCCTCTTGCTGTCCCCCTCAGGAAGGTCTCAGTGAGCTGAACAGCACAGCCATCAAGCCCCAGGTGAAGCCCTGGATCAACCTGTTCCTCTCTGTCTCCCACAACATCGAGGAGGTAAGGCTCAGTGTTCTCTGCTTCCAGCTGTACCTGGGCATTCTTCATCCTCTGCTCAGCAGCACAGTCAGAGCAATGCATTCATTCTCCTCAGTTACCTGCTGTTTCCTTGGCACAGAGCAACAGTAAAATACCCAGATCTTCCTCTGCAGCTGAGCCTGGAAAGGGACATTTGGCTAGAGAGGAGCTTGAGAAAACGGAAAGGGTGCAGAGCTGCTCCAGGAGGAGCAACCCTTCCTGTCCTCTGGGCTGTTGGCTGCAATTCACTTCAGGCCACATAAACAACCTTTTGCATTTCACTATCAGGAGGAGTTCAGCGACTACGAGGCCAACGACCCCTGGGTCCAGCAGTTCATCGTCAATCTGGAACAGCAGATGACAGAGTTCAAGGTGAGAGGAAGGGAGGGAGATGGCAGCCTGCCAGGTTTTAGCCAGACTTCCACGTGGCATCTCCCAGCTTCTCCCCTGCTCAGGGGAATGGCAGGCAGAGATGTCCTCCAGTGCCTTGCAGGGCTTTTAGGGGTCCAGTCACCCCCTTCTCCTGCAATTCTCAAAGCCTGCTCGCAGCCCCCACGTGCCTGGATCACTTCTGTGGCGCTCTCCACTTGACAAGCCTGCAAGTGATGGGTCATTATTTGAAAGCTCTCCTAGGCTTGGGGTTTGGGGACCTCTGCTCAGTTTTTCTTGACAAGAGTGACACAGGTTTCTGCTTCCAGGCTGGACTGTCTCCAGTGATTTACGATACCCTCACTGGTCTTACAACCAGTCTCATAGCCATTGAACTGGAGAAAGTGCTGCTCAAATCCACTTTTAGCAGGGTAAGCAAAACCCCCCTCTACCCTGTAACCTGGTTTGACTCCAAACCCTTTGTAAAGGGATGGGGCAGGTCAGAGGCAAATGTTACCCGCAAAAAAGCTCTGCAACCACCAGTGGCCAACTCAGGGACATCCTGTATTACCACTCACAAGGAGAAAGTGTGTTATGTGATAGGCCTGAGAAAAGCTGGCACCAATAAGGGGGGGTGGCTTTAATGGTGGGTCTAAGCATAAGCCATTTTAAGCTGCAGTAAATGGTCTAACTGGAACCCTCCTGCTCAGAGACCTCCCCCTGCTACTCTATGACTTTTAACTGTATCTTTGGCACAACCCCTGGGCCTGCTTGGAGAGGTAACAGAGCTCCCTCGTGCCCACAGCTCGGCGGTCTGCAGTTCGACAAGGAGCTGAGGTCTCTCATAGCCTATCTCACCACAGTCACCACCTGGACTATCCGCGACAAGTTCGCCCGTCTTTCCCAGATGGCCACCATCCTCAACCTGGAAAGGGTGAGCTGCACTTGGTCTGCTTTTACTGGGGGATTGTGGGAGCCCCAGCTGGACTCCACGTGGCTTTACTGAGCTCATCCAGGTGTCGTCACACCTCCAGGGCGTGGGGAAGCTGGAGAAGTTGCCCCGTGCCTGATGGGTGCTCACCTGCGGGGTTAGTGGCAGAGTTTGAACTCACCTGTGCGGGTGGTCTGTGCTGAGTCGTCTCCTACAGGTCCCTTCTTTTTCCAGGTGACAGAGATCCTGGATTACTGGGGCCCGAACTCGGGCCCGCTGACCTGGCGCCTGACGCCGGCCGAGGTGCGGCAGGTCCTGGCTCTGCGCATCGACTTCCGCAGCGAGGACATCAAGCGGCTGCGCCTGTAGTCGGTCGGTGCTTGTGCCAGCACCACACTCGAGGGAACGGCAGGAGACCTGCAGCCCCGAGGCCTGCCTGGGCCCTGCCATGGCTGGCTGCTACACAGCATGGGGGTGGGGTGATATCTGCCCTTCCACTGACATTCCTTGGAGCAAAGGGCTTTCCTGGGCCTGGCAAGAAGAGCTGACACCCCTTTGTGGGAGCAGAAGCAAGGCAGCAGAGGAATCTTTCTCAGAACACAGGCTAGTGCCAGCTCCTGATTCCCTGCACTCTGCTCCCTGTGGGAGGCCACAGGGCTGGACACCTGGGGGCTGCTGTGGCCCAAAGATGGGTCTGCAGAGCTCTGCCTGTGCAGCTGCTGCAGTCACGTGCCCTCTGTGCCCCCAGTTCAAGGGTCAGCTACTGGAGTCACAAATCCTGAGCCCTGGTTCTCTCCTGGTGGTGGTGCGGACTGTTCTGCTGAAGGGAAAAGGAGTGATTTCCTTGGGAAGGTACTTGAAAAATCACTAGAAAGCCTCTGTGGGAAGCAGGGCTGTGTCCCTGCTGGCTTGCTGTGCCCTGTACAGCTACTCTGTAAATAAACCTCACCTGGCTGAGCTGCAGTCTCAGGTGGTGTGTGCATCCATGGGCCTGGAGAGATGCTGGACAAGAGCTCTGCTCCATTTCTCCTCTTCTACCCTCGCCAGGGTATCCAGAGGATCTTCCTGTCCTGCCTGATGCTGTTCCCATCACCTAGGGTTGTGGAGGGCAATGACCAGCCCCTGCATGCAGTTTCTGCCATTCCCACTCCTAGAAAAGCTTTGCCCATGCATTGCTGGGCTCTTGCTCTCCCTGGGAGCAGCCCTGCCAGGGACAGAGGGGCACAAACACCTGCTGGGAACAAGCTCTTTTATTCAGACTGACTGCAGGAATTAGTAGCTTGCTTTCATTATTCACTATATCAACACTGAAATAGTCCCTCAGGACAGGAGAGGGTCTTGATTCCACATCCAGGTGCATCCTTGGTGCAGGAGCATTGTGTGCTGAACAGGCAGTGTGGGTCCCTGCTGCTGGAAGAGCAGGAAGGTTCCTGCCAGAGGCAGCATCACAAATGCTAGTCTTTTCCCTTTGGAGAACTGTAAAAACTGGAGTGAAACTGCAAAATCAGGCTGGAGGCCCTTGCAAACTGTCCTTCCAGCAAGGCCATCCTCCAGGGAGAATTGTGCCTGCCCAGCTCATCACAACTTTTCCAGCCTCTGTGGCTTTTGGGGCAAGCAGCAGCACAAAAAGGCCATATCAAGACCTAAGGCACCTGCTGGAGCTGCCCTTAAAGCAGTGAGGATTTCCTGTGTATCTGCCAGGAACTGGCCAGGGCTGAAGGCCTTCACACAGCCCTGTCCTCTCCAGGGCGAGCACCATCCTTCGTATCACATCCCACAACCTCCACGGAGAAACCGCCCGTGTCCACCTCGATGCTGTGGATGCTGAAGTTGCCCAGCCCCTAGAAAAATAAAGAGTCACTGGTTGGGGCAGGAGCCAGCAAGGGACCTGTTCTCACCTCCAAGGTCCCAGGGAGGGCACTGGGACAACCAGCCATCACATCCCACGCGCGGTAGGGCGAGATGCTCCTCGTGCTCTCTTACATAAAGCTCCTGCAAACCGCCCGTGACAGTGAACCTCCCGGGAGCTCACACCTCACCTCGGTGCCAGTGAGGATCTGCTGCAAAGCCTCTCTTTGCTGCGGGGCTTTGGTTAGGACGTAAAGGAAGCCACCGCCGCCGGCCCCGGCCAAGCACTGCCCGTGGACGTGGGGCCGGAGAGCGTCCATCATGTGCCCCACGGCCAGCGGCTCACACCCAGGGGCCATGACCTTCTTCTGCTGCCAGTAGCGGTCCAGACACTCGCCAATGAGCGGCAGGTCACCTGCAGGGAAGGGGAGATTGCAAATTACTTGTCTCTGCTTCTCGCCCGAAGGGCACAAACCTGTCTCTGCCTCTCCTGCTCAGCACAAGCTAAATTCTGCCTTCTCCTCTCCCCAGTTCCTCCCAGCTCTGCCTGCCGAGCAGGCAACCCCAGCCCTGTCATGTTGCTGTTTATTTTTAATCCTCCACAGGGGGAGGATTTGCTTGCTTTTATGCTCTGGCTTCCTCTCCACAGCATCCCAGCAGCCAAGTGAACCCACTGCACAGGCCAAGAATGGCCCTCAGCCCTGTCACCAATGGCTCACAGAAAATCAGCCAGATACAGCATGTCTAACCCTCTCTTCCTCAAAAATCTTCATTCAAGCCTGAATTTTGGGGTGTTGCCTGGTGAGGGTGTGCCTGGGGGAGGATTTGAGACTTTTGCAGCTGCAAGAGCCTGCACCCATCAGCCTTTGCCCCCTCCAGGACTGCACAGCCTCTCCCCAGGAAGTTTGTGTTTCTTCAGCTGTTAAAAGGGCTGGCTTGGCACAGGAAAGGGGATTCACACCTTGCCTCAAGGCCTGGGCACACTCCTCAGCGTTGCTCACCAGCGCATCAGTGTTTTGCACAATGGAGGGCAGCCTGGCATACCAGTTCCTCACCACATCCTGCAAGAGGCCAGAATGTCCCTGTCACCATCCCCCTGGCTTCAGCAGCACCTGGGGACGTAATGCTGCACCCACAGCCTTGGGTGTCAGCTCCCACTGGGGTGGCAAAGCTCTGCACCAGTGAAGGGGACAGGCACCAAAGGCCACAGGGGGAGCAGAGGCCAGACCTGTGACACCCAGGGGCACCCAGGCATTACCTGGAGCAGGTTGCGGGCCAGGCGAGTCTTCCCCGTGTACACCAGCAGCAAGTGATCACTGAGGGTCTGGGTAAAACCGTCAGGCACCGGGATCGGCTCCACTTCCACCCTGAGGGGCAACTGGGCCTTCGACCTTCCGATTTTGATGCCAGGGACGAGCCCACCAACCTGGTCCTGCCAACCACCACCTGCAGGGCAGAGGGTCCTCAGCCACCACTGGGACACCCACCCCCTGGGCCAGCTGCTCCCCCGGGCCAGCTGCTCCCCCAGGCCACTACCTGTCGTGAGCCTCTGCTCCAGGTGCAGCACGGCGTGGATGAGGGACTCGGTGCTGGCAGCCTTCCCAGCCGCCCGGTACAGCGATGCCATCACCGCTCCTGCCAGGATGCTGCTGGTGCCTGCAGGGAGCACAGGCAGGGCAGTGAGGCACTGTGTGTGCTAAGGGTGGGGAGTGGCAAGGGGGATGCCCCATCCTGGTGCTGGCGACTCTCTGGTGCAGGAGGGACTGCCCAGCCCTTTCCTTGCAGACTTACCCAGGCCAGACCCGTGGGGCAGCTTGGACCAGGTGTGCACTTCGAAGCCACTCCCAAAACTCTCCATCAGCTGGACCCGCAAGGGTTTCTGTGAGGGGAACTGCACGACCTGGGTGCAGATGAAGGCAGCTTTGAGCAAGGCTCCTGAAAACAAGAGGAGGTAAAGCTGATGCCTGCTGTGATACCTGCTCCCTCATCCCATTGTCCCCAAAAACCCTGGCACCAAGAGGCCATGGCAGGTGCAGAGCTGGGCTGTGCAGGTGGGGACACCTCACCTGGTGCATGTGGCTGGCAGTAATCCTGTAGGTGCTCCAGCTCCTGGCACACCAGCTCCATCACTGCCTGGCTCGGTGGGGCCCCGCTGAGGCTGACGAGGCGCAGCTCCGGTGCGGGGATGCGGCGCACCCGGGCACCGATGGGCCGGCACCCGTCCACCAGCACCGCCACGTCCACCACGGCCCCCCCGTGCTCGTAGGTGATGGGGGGGGTGTCACTCCAGCCACCTGGAGCCAAGGCTCAGCATCAGCCCCCTCAGGGCACCCCGACTCCTTTTTCCCCAGCACCACAGGGGTGAGACACGGATCATCTGACTGGGGGGATGCACTCACCGGAGAGGTCCAGGCGGGCCGGACAAGCCACCTGCACCCAGTGCCCCAAGGGTGGCAGCTCTGACTGCCCCACGGTGACAAACTGGCACGAGGACATCACCGCCTGCCGGACCAGGATTTGCTCGGCCCCCTCGTAATGCCGAGCCGCTCTCACCAGCAGAGCCGGCCTGGGATGAGAGGGGTGCTGAGCCCACTGCCAC